TGTAACGGTATCTATGACACTGTTTTGATATAGTGCACCTGACTGTGCTTCGGCAAGGGCGCTGCGTAGTTTTTCTAACTGTACGATAGTGCCATGCAATTTCAGGAAGAGAAGGGAAGGCGGTCAGTGAGAAGCAGATCTGTGGCAAGAAGCTGGAGCTGAGGAAGCAGGGTCAGCTGCTTCTTCCTGGAGATTTGCCTTCTGACTCTGCATGCCCATCAATTCTAGGGCCTTCTGTCATGTTTCTGCAGCCTGGGAGACAAAGAAAGTTCTTTCTATCTCTTGGGAGTCCACCAAATTTGGCAGCTTATGGGAGGTCCAGCTACCCCTCCCGAGGGCACTTGCATCATCAACAAGTCAGAAATCCTCAGTTGTATTTGCTTTGAGTTGCTGTTAGTCATAGGCTCCAGGGCCTAAAGGCTTACTTGTAAGCCTCAGATCTGAAATATTCCTTTTGGATTGAGTCTCTGATTTTCTGCTGCAGCTTTGGGTCTCCTCCATTGGGCAGATAGCTCCATCGGGAAGTGGCTTCCTAATGGCTATGGGTTGACAAGGCATGTTCTTCCTAGGGTTGAGAGTGGTTTGTTCTCATCTCTTCTCTCTTTGCCTCCTGCACAGGGCAGGGTAAGTAGAACTTTTTGCTGCCCTCTGCCACAATGTGGGGTGTGGGTGTTGGGTTTTGGGGTATATGTGGGGACTAGCAGGAGGTACTAGTCCTGGAGACATGGAGGGAAAGTGGCCCCTGTGTTTGTAGGGTTGTTTCCTTTGGTTAGAGGCAGCGACCTGAGGTACTAGACAGCTAGCAGACATCTGGAACTCCTGTCACCTTTTCTGAGCTAGGGGTGGGATGGGGTGGGTGGGCTGCTGAGAGCTGGAGCCCAAAGACACTGCTGAGTGAACCTTGTACAAGTCACCAGACTTGTGGAATGCTTGGCCACTCTGGGCTCCCTTTCCCTCACAAAGGTGGCATCTGCAGACTCAGGTTTTCAGGTCTGGTCCTAGAGAACTGGCTGGGGCTCAGAGTTCTCACTTAGGGAGAGGTAGGGGCTCTGACCACTTGGCTGGGTATTTTTTTACATCTAGGCAAGTACTTCTTCTTTTGGGGTAGTGGTGTGTTGTTTGAGGCCACGTTTTCATTTCCAGCAGCCCAGACTCCTGAAATAATCACACAGAAACTGTATTATTTGCAATACTGTTTGACCAATAGTTTAAGAGTTTTGCTAGCTAGCTATTACATCTAGAATTAATCAATTTCCATTATTTTGTATTTTACCACGAGGTTCTGGCCTACAGGCAAGGTTCCAACTGGCAGCTTGCATCTTTTCCCTCCAGCAGCTCCATGGCATCTTCCGACTCTGCCTTCTTTCTCCCAGCATCCAGTTTAGTTTTCCCCACCTACCTCTATTCTGCCCTGCGCAGGCCCAAGACAGCTTTGTTATTAACCAATGATAATCACAGCATACAGAGGGGAATCCCACATTACCTCTCCTTTTCTGTCTAAATAAAAAGGAAGGTTTTAATTTTAACATAGTAAAATTACATATAACAAAACAGGTATCAAGCAAGAATTACAGTTACAATATTTATATCTACTTTATCTTTTATCATAACTAAGGAAAACTAAAACTATATATATTCTTCAACTCCATCAAAGACTCCAGAAGGATATACTATTACCTAAGTAAACAGGAAGTACATTGTAAGCAACTTCCAAAACTCTAGAATTGACAAAGACATCTCACGGCCTGGACAGTCATCCAAAGTTCTTTTGTAATGTTGTGGCATCCAGTCTGCAGCCTCCTGGCCCAGCAACTTTTCCATGAAGCAGTAAATGTCAAAGATAGTTCCACCATATTGGCAGTTTGTCAATTTCTTCTGTGTCCTGCAGAATGTCTACAGACTCTTTCAAGAAGCAGGAACCCTGAAGGACTGTCTCACCTTCTTTAGGCAGCTTCAGCAGTCATTTTTCTGTGAGTCCTGCATGTTCAGTTCATACAGCATACCATCAAGCAGTCCAGGCAAGAGCAGTTTCTTGCCCAAATGGATAACAAACTCCAAAAGGAGCCTCTTTGATGCTCATTTTCCTCTTGAAGTAATTGGTGCTGCCAGGAGCAGATGTGCCTCATGTCATGAAAAGTCCTAAGTTATTAAAATATTTTAAATGCCATATTCTGTAGTCTTTGAAAGTTCTCAAGAATATCTATTCATCTGAAATATATCTTTGTACATCTAGAAAACCTAGTTGACATGACTAAAGCTTGACTATTATCAATGACTCTCTATTAACCTATATTTCTTAATTATACATTATTCTTTTAAATGAGCTTCGCAAATACAATACCTTAATCAAGAGCAGAACTATATATATCCTAAAATTTGTATCAATAAACCAATATCCATACCAATGCAAATCTCTATAGCCCCTTTAAATGTAAACAAACATTTATAAGCAATATTTGGGAATAAGGGTGTAGTTCTCTCAAAATTGCTTCCTGCTTTTTCTTAGGTAAAGTAATTTTTGGGGGTGTTTATGGCAACCTTTGGGTTGGTCTTGGTCCATCAAACCAAATTAGTCTCGAAGGATTCCACAGATTCTCATCCTCTGTAGAAACAAAAGAAGAACCTCTTTTTCAAAGCAACAAATCCTTAGACCCAAATTCTGAAGTCATGATATCTTTAAAACTTATATGTTGGTTTAGCTTAGCAGGCCATACAATGAAATGTCTCTCTGTACTTAGCTCCTTCACAGTCAAAAAATTAAAAGAAAACACAAATAATATATATATATACATACATATATATATATGTATGTATATATATATATATAATCCAGACTCTCTGTGTATTTTTCATTTTTACTTGGCTTCTTTTTCTTTATTTTTTCAATCTATGACTGTCTGTACTCTGTCTCTTTAAAGACTTTGTTTTTTTTTAAACAATTTACTTCTTTTTATAGTTCTCTCTCTATATATATTTCTCTCTCTCCCAAGCCTATGTACATTTATCCCACACTGTGACTCATTTAGGGGTCTTTTTAAATCTAAATCTGTCTTTATTGTGTATCTGTAATTATTTTCTGACCAGATGTGGCCCTGTTTTTTTTAGATGCTAAGTGAACATAGCTAGGGCCAACAGGGCCCTGTCTGCTTGCTCCTCCCAGTCCAGCATGGCAGAGCTGCTCGCTGCCTCTGACAGCCATGTACATTGCCCCATTTTTAGGCACAAAGGGGGTCTATGTTGCCATTAAGCAAGTTGTAACACTCTGCTCACAGACTCCATTAAATGCTCGGTCTCCTGACAGAGCCAGAGTTCGTGCTGGCAGCACGGCTCAGAAAGCTGCCTTTCCAAAACTACACTTTTTTTTTTTAACTGCTGAATCAGGAAGACCTCTCTTAAAGGAGCTGTGGCATGCTGCCAGCAAACAGAGCAAGAAGCTGTGTTAAACTCTGTTTTTTTGTGTGTGTGTCTAGAATTCCTTTTCAAGCTTTCTCAGGTTTTTATGTAGATGTAGTTACCCATGTTGGGTGCCAGTGGTGGTACATTTATTCAAGACAGGGTTTCTCTGTGCAGCTCTGGCTGTCCTGGAACTCACTTTGTAGACCAGACTGGCCTGGAACTCAGAGATCTGCTTGCCTGGATCTGTTCTGGAATGCTGGATTAACGGTGTTAGCCACCACTGACCAGATAGACAAGTACTTGCTGCCCCTTCATAGGCAAATATGAAGTCCCCCCAGCACCTACACACCCCCTGCAGCTAGCTGCATGAAGGCTAATGAGACCTACACAGTCCTCTGTCCAATAGCTGGGAGGGACGAAGGCAGCACAGGGCTCACATTAGATCTTTCAATAAGAAATTGGAGTCAGCTCCTGAGGAGCCTCAGAGGGTCACATTTTGCTCTAGAGTCTTTTAAGAGGGTTATTATCTTTTTTTATGCATGTGACCGTGTGAGCATATACCACATGTGTGCAGGTGCCTGCAGAGGCCAGAGAGGGGATTTGATCCCTTAGAGCTGAACTTACAAGCAGTTGTGAGCCGCCTGAAACAGGTGCTAGGGACCAGCCTCTGGTTTCCCCAAAGAGTAGCATGAGCTCTTAACTGCTGAGCCCTGCCTCCAGCCACAGCAGAGAAGTCTTTAAAACATTTTCACATATATTTCTGTATGTGTATATATTTCTGTATGTGTATATGTGTGGGTGATCGGGTTAGAGGGATCATGGTACACACGTGCCACGAGCTGAGTCTGGAGGACAAGCTGTGGGCGTCAGTTCTCTCCTTCAACCATGTGGGTCCCAGTGATCCAGCTCAGCTAGTTATACTTGGTGGTGCTCACCCATAACTACGGAACTATCTCTCTGGGACAAGAAGAAGTCTTTAAAAACTTTTCTTTTTTAAAACCATCTCTTACGATTTTGCACTTCTCAACTGGGGCCAGTCGAATTTCTTTGGCTTCTACCCACACCATTATACAAAGCAGGCTGTTCTTTCTTGTAGCCACTTTCTGTGTATTCCTCCTACCTGCCTTTGTATCTGGGGTTCATCTGCCTGGGTAACCAAGTTTAGCAGCACTCACCTTGTCTAGTCCCAGCATCTTACCCTGGACACATGTTGGATCTTACTGCTACTTCAGTTGAAAGGCATTCGGATGTTAAAAAGTAGTGGAGAAGCCAGGTGGTGGTGATGATGCACACCTTTAATCCCAGTATTCAGGAGGCAGAGGCTCAAGGCCAGCCTGGTCCCCAGAACAAGTTCCAGAACAGCCAGCATTACACAGAGAAACCCTGTCTCAAAAAAAAAAAAATCAAAACAACAACAAAACATGGTGGAGATAACGTTTTTATGTGAGCCTTGAAGGTTAGACTTGAGTGGGTGTGGAGAAGCTGGTAAGGCAAACACTGTCTGAGGGTCAGGAGGAGGGGCATAGGCAGGCATGAGTCACTGTGTAGATGTGCAGAACCCAGGGAAGAGAAGAAACTGATCTGAGATAGGGAACCCTGCATGCAGAGGAGGACAGAAGCCTAGATGCTGAGAAAGATTTGTGCACTTAGTGGAATGAGTAGGACGTGGGACTTTGGATGTCTCCCCTGGTGGGAATGTAGATTTTCAGTACAGCATGGGACATGGTCAATATAGCTTTGTCAAGAGCCTAGGCAGCAGGTAAGTGTGTCCCTTTATCTCCTCTTCCTAAGCTTTACCAAGGCCAAACTGTCAACTAGTTGAATGCTAACCAATACTTGCTTGCTCTTGTACCTTGAGAGCCTGATACTTGTCAGGCACTCAGGAACTTTTAAATGAAGGAAAAGAGGGAAGGAGGAAAGAAAGATGCTGCTTTTGTTTCACTTTCATTGCTGCTGCCCTGACAAAAAGCAGCTTAGAGGAGAGAGAGTTTATCTTAGCTCACAATGCCAGGTAACCATGTGTTACCGTGGCAGAGCCAAGGTGGCAGGAACTTGGAGCAGCTGTTGACATCATGTCCATGGTCAAGAGCAGAGGGAAGTGAACGCATGCATGTTTAATACTCAGCTAGCTCTCGGCTCTTACACAGTCCAGGGCCCAAGATCAGGGAATGGGGCCACCACTTTCGGGCTTGGCCCTCCCATCATCAATTAAGGCAGTCAGCATATTTTCCCACAGACACGCCCACAGGCCAACCTTACCTAGACAGTCCCTCACTGAGACTCTCTTCTAGATTGGGTCAAGTTGACAAACATAACCCAAATAGATATAGATCAACAATTGGGCCTAGCGAGTAGCTAAGAGCCTTAGGTAAGCACAGTCAATGCCTTTCCTGGTCACCTCTGGGGCTTACTCTTCTGTACTTCAACTCTTATGGGGTCAGTAGCTTGCAGGAAAACTTACTTTTGTACTTTCCGTTGGTTCTCTTGCATTAGGGGAGCTGACCCCAAATGCAAGTAAAGACAAACCTGAACAATAACAGCACAAAAGGAATAAGAGCTGAGGAGAGGGCCTCGTGGAAGAGAGAGCTGCTGTTTGTCCAGGGCCTTTGTCTCACCCATGAACTGTCCCTAGTCACCAGAGTCTAAATCCAGTGATGGTTTTGTAAACGCCCAAACCTAAGTTTCTCCTGCGGCTGCACATTCTTCAACAGTAGCACACAGTCAGGAGGGTCTGACTCATCAGAAATAGTTCCCCAGAATCCTAAGCATCACCTAGATGCCCTTGAATGCTTTAGAGAAAAGCTGACGTTTCAAAATGTGCATCGAGATAATGTAAAAGCAACAGATTGGCTACGAGTCACCCAAGCTGTATACCTCTAACCACACGGTTTGTTTACTTTTCACGGTGTTTCCTTCACCGCCTTTTTTGTGGCTCGCTCTATACAGCTTGTGTACTTGCTATAAGAACATTATCAGTTTCGACGCTGCTCTTTCTTACCTTACTCAGTTTTTCCGAGACCCTCTTCTCTCAGGCTTGGCTTCGCCTCACACCTGCAGTGGGCCAGTTTTCAGTCAGAGGAGAGGCTACATCTGCTTCCTGTGGGCCCTCTGGTCAGAAGCATGCATGGCTGGCTGCTCCTGATCCGGGCCCAGGGGCTAATACTGGCTGCCTTCCTCACTTCAGGTAAGGCCTGCAAGCCCAGCAAAGCAGGGAGGTGGGCTTGGCACAGAGACCAGGGTGCTTGGGTAGAGGAGGCTCTGAGTACATGCCACATGCATGTATATCGGGTGGTTCTGGGGCCCTCTGTGACCACGTGGGAAGGGCAGGCACTGGGAAGAGGAGGCAGGTGTGTCTGGGATCACAGAGGATAGCCTTTGGAGGTCCTCTGGGGTGGGCCCTGGTTGGCCAGCTGCACATGAAAGGAGGCTGGGGAGTGGACTAAGGTAGAAGCCGAGAAGTCTCCTGAAAGCCCACTCCCCCACCCCCATCTTCCTTTCTCTTTCTGAGGAACTTCTAGAAATATATTCCAGCTGGTTTTCTGTTGATCAGAAATATCGGCTTCCCAGACTTTCGGGATCTCCCATTAATACCAAAATTCTAAATTCTGTTGTGTTTCTATTGCATTAGACACTGCAGAGAAACATTCCCAAGGGAAAGGAACAAAATATTTAAAGATTATACTGCAAAGTAGTTTAAAGACTGACCCTAGAACATCCTGAGGGTAGAGAGGAGCTGGGGTTAGAGCAGGGTGGGTGATGAAGATGCCTTTCTCTGGGAGAAGTCTTGTCCTGCCCTGCCCTCTCCCCTCCCCTCCTCTCCTCTCTTCTCCTCTTCTTTCCTGTCCTCCCTTTCTTCCTTTTCCTTTCCTTCCCTGACCCTCATCCCTTCTCTCCTTCCCCCTCCCTCTCTCTTACTTTGGTTTGTTCCTTTGACAGATACAGGGTCTTACTACATTTCTAAAGCTAGTCTGGAACTTACTATGCAGTCCAGACTGACCTGGGACTCACTATGATCCTCCCGCCTCAGCCTCCCATATGCTGGGATTAAAAGCATCCACTACTACCCATGGCTGAGCAGCAGGGTTTCTTGCCATGTCTCTTTTGCCCAGGATTTTTTTCCCCCTTTCTCTCTTGAAGGTTTTTCCTTCAAGTAGCCTGGTTCTGTTTCAAAGGATAGGACCAGACACCAGACTAGATTGCTGGAAACTGTAGAGAAGCAGATGATTCATGGCACAGGGCAGATTTTCTAGGTGGGAAGACTAAATAAAGTCATAAAAATAATCAAGCACCTAGCCAAGAGGCTGCCTAGAATACCCTGAGTGGGCAAAGTGCTGAGCCATGTGGTAGAACACCGGGCATTTAATAAGGTGTTATACAACACGGGTAAGAAGGGCCATCTCATAAGTTGGGGTCCTCACAGAGGGAGGGGGCACAGTCTGACAAACAGGTAAGAACGAGACAGAGTGAGGCAGAAGCTCTGGCAGTAGCAGTGACAGGCTGGAATTGGGTACACAGAAAAGGGCAAGAAGATTGGGTAGGACTTGGAGCCTTGACGGACAGGTATAGTAAGGAAAGTCTCTGGAGATGAAGGAAAGAGGAAGTGAGGATAGTCTCCATAGGCTAGACTGCAGGCTCCTAGAGCCACTTCTGGCCTTTGAACATCCTGGGATTCGTCAGGAAGGTTGAACGGCTGCTGCTGGCTAGAGACTCACGTGTGCTTCTTCCTCTCCCATAGGAGCCGCAGACAGCACAATTCAGACAAAGGGGAACATTTCTGCCGAGGAAGGTGGCTCTGCCACCTTACAGTGTCACTTCTTCTCCAGCACAGCCACAGTCACCCAGGTCAACTGGGAGCAGCGGGACCAGATTCTGGCGGTTTATAGTACTGACCAGGGATGGCATGTCCCTTCGGTCTTCAGTGAGCGGGTGATCCCAGGCCCCAGCCTAGGCCTCACCTTCCAGTCGCTGACAATGAATGACACAGGGGAGTACTTCTGCACCTATCACACCTATCCGGATGGGATTTACAAGGAGAGAATATTCCTGAAGGTCCAAGAAAGCTCAGGTATGTTCTTTGAAGCAGGGAGACAATGAACCACTTTCTCTCACAGAGAAAACTCCATCCTGAAACATTCTGGGAAGCAGAGTGTCTCAATCCTGGAACATATCAAACTCACTGGAGGAACTTTTGGGGCCTTGTAAAGACAGAGCAACTCTAGCTAATGAAACCAGAGCCTCTTGGGGGCAGAGCTAGCATCTGATATGTTCTGGAAACACCCAGCTGATTCTCGTGCACAACCACTGATTTTGCACACAAATACATCTTATCTAACCTGACAAGACCCATGGATGCAGTTACACATGAAAGGTGATCATTTAATGATTGAGCGTCAGTCATACAGAATCACTCTCAAGGCACAGCCCGTGCTGAGTGTGGAATGTATAACACTCATCCACCTTTGTGTGATGAAGCTTCAAAGCTTCCAAATGTTCTTGTAATGATCATTTTCAGGCAAACACGAGACAGTTTTACTGAGGGAAAGGATTATTAAAGTCACATCTGAGAGATAGTTTAGCAGGGTAATAAAGTGCTCTGCCTTGGATGTCAGACAACTTGGGTTCAAACCTTACTATTCGCCTCAGACAGGAATTTAATTCCTCTGTGCAACCCTTTTCTCATCTGTGCGTGAGGATGGTGGTAAGGCTTTCTGAGGTGCTAATCGGGGGTTAAACAACCTACTGTCAGAAAAAGCCCTTAGCCCAGCTCCAGGAACATAGCAAGTACCCTGGTAGGTGTTGACCATGTGTGTGATTCCCATCTGATTGGTGGCGGCAGAAGCTAAGGTTTGGAACTGCTCAGGGTGGCAAAGTTGATGTTAACACAGACGTTCAGGCCCCATGACATGCCACACTCAGAACTGCTCACCGTTGGTTATATTGGAGTTTAGGTTAAGAACATATGTCCATTTGAAATTATATCGCAACTTAGGTTTCACGAGTCTTAAGAACATTATGGACATTGAAGTGATAGAAGTTCACCTTCAAGTTTCCTTTTGCACATCACTTCTTGGCTGGATCCATCACAGATTAAATACAGTGAGTGGCCAAGAGCCCGGGTCCTAGAGTCACACCACCTGGGACTAAATGCTGTCATGTATCCTGGATAATTGTGGTACTTAAATTTTCTTGTATTGCTGTCCTGATAAATGGCAAATCATCTCATGAGTTGTTACAAATAAGGTCTTGGGACAGTGTTGTGCATTGCATTTATTCAGGGAAGGCTTGGAAAATAAAGACCACAGGAGATCTAGGTCACAGTAAACCCTAAGCCTGTGCGGGCCGTGACAACTGTGGGCTCTTTACCCCCGTATTATTTTTCCCAGAGCCTCTCTCACCACACCGCAGGACCAATAGATTGAGACCTCTGCACCAGAAGCCAGAGAGGAGGAGCCTTGTATGTTTGCTCATATTTGGGCCAGGATACTCAGGGCCCGATATAATCCTGACATGGAACGGCTTCCTTTTTTCACAGAGGCACGACTGCCTTTTTGTTACCATACAGACGTGAGAGCATGAATGCCTTCCTCCCTCTCATAGCCCACTTTGTCTGTGGCAAGCACCTCTCTCCAGCTTCCACTCCAGACCCTGAGTATTTCCACCATTCCTGTAATCATAAATGCTGGGGTACACCCCTGGTCCCGTGAAATTCCCTTCTTGCTTCTCAGGAAGTCGGTTGTTTACAATAAGGCAATTAACTCTCCTTTAATTATTTGCATCAGCTCCACTCCTGCTCTCCTACTTACACTGATCTCAAACATGGACCAAAGCCCCTGGTAACCTAGTATTACATAAACTGTTGTCTAGCCAGAGCTGGCGATGTAGCTCAACAGTAGAGTGGTTGCATGTGGCTAGCATGCATGAGGCCCTGGGTTCAATCCCCGGTCCCACAAGTAATACCAAATCTCTAAAGGAGATTATATTCCTCCTCCACCTGCACGTTGGCAGGCTGTCCTGACTGCCCCCAGGCTCTTTCAGTTTCTTTTTTTAGAAACCGTGGCTCTGAATGGAAGAGTTAGTGCTTTCATTTTAAAACAAAAATTACTAGTTTAGTTGGCGCTTTAATATTCCAAAGTCAGTCTGCTTTAACCAGACTTAACTCACCTTTAAATTTGACCACATTCATTATCATAATCTTCCCTAAAATTTCATGATGCATTTTGCTGCTTCTTGTTTCACCTTTCAGCTTGAGGAGAACCCAGTACTAACCGGGCCTTGCAAAGTGGCTCTGCCCTCCTCTTCTGTCCACACACTGTCCTTCCAGGCCCTCTGCACCCCTACAGCATCCAGACCACGGTCTTCCATCCCCTTTCTTCTGAGTAAGCCATGTCACGTCCACCCAGGGGCCAGCCTGGCCTCCACTGACTAAGTCCTCATAGCAGGAGGAGTATGCTGGGGTCTTGGACTTGGCAGGCAGGGTCCTTATCCCGAGAGAGACCTGGAGTTCAGGGAAACGGGGCCAGGGCTTTTCTCATTTCAAGTCTTCTCTGGGGGATCCTGCCTGAGTCCTGGAGAAGAGGGAAAGGTGGGAGAAAGTATCCTAGAGACCATTCCTCAATGTATCCCAGCATCTACTGTGTACTAAGGACTGAGAAAACAGAAGAGAGTAAGGTTGCAAGAGACTCACTTCTTCCAGGGTTTCAGACCTGGGCTATAGGGCTAAGGTGAAAAGTTACATGCTTTTTCTTTCCATAGTTTGGTTTCAATTTTGAATTAGTCAGTTTTAACACTATGGGTGTGTGTGTGTGTGTGTGTGTGTGTGTGTGTGTGTGTATGTGTGTGTGTGTGTGTGTGTGTGTGAGAGAGAGAGAGAGAGAGACAGACAGAATTATGGATGAAACAATTCACTTTCTGAGTTTTCTTTTGTTTTTATTTTATTGTAGATTTGATATTTGTTTATTTATACGTATGGGTGTCTTGACCACATATACACCTATGCAACACCTGGCTCTGGTGTCTGTAATGATTTCAGCCACATAAGGCTGATACGTCCGGGTTCTAGAGTCATGCATGTGAAGACAAGCCCTCAGGCAGAAGTGCCTGAATGTTAAAACACCTCACTCCATGACCTACTTGCCCACATGTCTGGTTATATCCACTAGGACTCAGCTAAGCCCTTGTGCACATGTGTAAGATTGTTGTCTGCATCTGTGTATGACGTAGACATGCCAACCCCGTGTGCATGTGCGCGCTCTCTCTCTCTCCTCTCTCTCCTCTCTCTCTCTCTCTCTCTCTCTCTCTCTCTCTCTCTCTCTCTCTCTCCCTCTCTGCACACCGATTCCCCAGGCCTGTACACGCCCCCTCTAATAAACTCCTAAGTGGGTTTGTTGCGTGTTCCGTGTTTTCTTCTCACTTGCGCCAGGTAATTTCAGTCTGTGGAGGCCAGAAGAATTTGGATATCCTGGGAATGAATGTATGGGGGGGGCTTTGAGTACCAGCCTCAGTACCCCTTCAGGGCTCAGAATTGGATGTCTACGGCAGGCAAGGATCTGAGGGTAAAAAATTAACTCAAGTACATGACCTCTGCATCTTATTTATTTTTCGTACAAGGGGAAAAATGAAGTGAAGGGGGCATAGAGGAGAGGAAGAATAAGGAGAGTAAGGGGAAAAAGTAGAAGTAGTGAGGAGAAGAGTAAGAGTAAGGACTGATCTCCAGAGGTTTCTAGTTTTTACAGACAGAGTCGCAAAATTCCATAGGTAAGGACAATGATGGTATGTTTATCAAAATCACAAAGAGGGGTAGGTAGAATCTGACAAAGTAGTACTCTGGAATAGGTGGCCCCGCCCAGGGAAGGGCCAGCATTCAAGGGGAAGTACCCGACAATTCAAACCTTAGATAAAGATGCTAAATGTCCCTGAATCCTGGACTCACCCACTCTCCTCATCTAATCTCTTTTGTGATAACCAGCTTGGGAGGGGGGGACCCCAGATTTGTTTGTTAGCAAAGGTGGGGCATGCTGCCTTCCTGCTCAGTGCCTGTCTTCTATAGAAATTCTATGTGGTCTGTTAGCAGGTGAGTTTGTGGGATTGACTCTATGTAAATTTGACTGTTAGATACAAAGAATGAATGCCTTCACTCTCAGGGGGGTGTGGGAGAATGGAGCAAGGTCACTCACTCCTTTGCCTGTCTAGAAGTCACACTGCTGAGGTGTTTTGGGAATAAAAGCCATTTTGAAGGGAAGAATCATGGCTTCACAAGGTTTTTACAGATATGACAGTGACTTTTCCAAAGACAAGTGTTCCCGCAGCTCTGCAAAATGGGTTGTTCCATGTGGACATGGACTATACACTTCCTATTGGTCAGTCAGCTGCACACTCACTGCATATAGTCCTGAGGGCTCTAACAGGACTGGAGTTACAGACGTCATGAGCTGCCATGTAGTGCTGGGAATAAAGCCTGGGTCCTCACAAAGAGCAGCCAGTGCTCCTAACCGCTGAGCCATCTCTCCAGCCCTCCCCGAGTTTCTTTTGAGATGCCATTATTTGTTTCATTTCATGACTTCTGGAAGCAAGTTGTTGACTAGGGGAAAGGATTACAACAACTGGTCCAAGGTGTACACAAGGTGCCTCGCCCCTCGAGAGATCTACCGCCAACTCCACTGGGCACCTGGGTGCTGCTCTGCTGACCACAGTTAAGGTTAAAGACTCGAGCAGAGGATAGTTCTAAGAGCACCCCACCTCTGGCCTCGAACTCCATAAAGACCAGGCTGGCCTCAAATCAAAGACCCGCCTTGCTCCCGACCTGTCACTCACCTCTGTTTCCTGTTCCCTGTAGGGGCTCAGTTCCAGATGGCATCACTTGGAGGAGCCATGGCTGCTGTGTTGGGAATCATCTGCTTAATGATCACAGGGGTGGCTGTAAGAGCTAGACAGGTAAGAGATAGGACAGCCTGTCTCAGTCCCACCATGTCACCCCCATTCTTGCCCCCCTGGCGACTTCTGCTATTCTTTTAGTGGCTATATTAGGCATTCCAAAACGTACCTGGACTTATTCAAGTTCTGTTATGTTAGTAATAATCAGTCAATGACCTATAATGTCCAGGAACATGCAAGAACCTTAGATCGTAGCAGCTCTTTTTACCGGTCTCCACCACATGGCTTCATCATCCCCTTGTTCTTTGGTTCATTCCGCTTTCTAGACTCACAAATGTGATTGTTTTGTGCATCCACATGACTCGAGGGCCACCCCTCTATTGCTCTCCTCTCCGGCCTCCCTGGCTGGGCCATTTTCCTTCTGCCTGAGGGATATGCTGCGGTGTTTCTGCGGTGCAGGTCAGCAAAGGCAAAGAATTATTTTGACTGTTGTTGTTCACCTAAAACTTGCTTACCCATGGCTGTAAATATAGTGTGTTTGTCTTACTAGGTGTAGTAGAATCTTGTGTTGGCCATTATTTTCTATTAGCACACGGAAAATATTATTCCATTGTCTAACTTCATAAATTTTTCTTTTTTGGAAACTGGGTTTTATTCTTCCTTTTCTAAAAATGTCTTTTCTCCTTCTTGTTCTTTTAACATTTTCTGCCTTAAGGTTTCAGCATTTGTACAATGATATAATTAGATGTCATTATCTTTGTATTTATTCTGTATGGGGTTTGGATTGAGTGGGTTTTTTTCAGTTGTGGTTTGATGAGTTTCTGTCAGTTTGGGGTCAATCCTGGCCATTTCTTGTTATCTATTCCTTCTCTATTCTTACTTTCTTCTCCTTCTGGGCCTCTCATGGCAGGGACTTTTGAGACTCCCTTCTCTTCCATATGCCTTCGAGTCTCTTTTGTATTTTCTGCCCATTCATATCACCATGTTTTGAAGTGGGTCTTCTCTTCTAACTTACTTCTCAGATTACCAAATATCTCCTTTGATGTATCTAGTCATTGTTTAAATAGTTTATAGCCTGTCAAAACTCCCAGTCTTAGAGCTTATTTATCGGTTATTCTGATCTGTACCCGACAATCCTGTTAATTACACCCTTCCTGGGTCTTTTCCTATTGTCTATTTTTATTCGATTATCAGTCATATGTTCTTCTCTTGCCTGGTAGTTTTCATGGTGTGCATGGAAAACTGCAGCATCTTCTTCCCTGCAGCCCCTTGTAGTCAGTAGGTGATGATTTTCACGTGTTAGCAGTCCTAGGTCACCTGAATTAAATCAGCAATGGCAGACTTATATCCTTTCCTTAATACTGTGATAAAGTGCAGCTTAAGGAAGGCGGGGGTTATTTTGGCTCATGGTTTGGAGGTTGTCTTAGTTAGGTTTTATTGCTGTGAAGAGATACCATGACCACGGCAACTCATATAAGGGAAAACATTAAACTGAGGCTGGCATACAGTTCAGAGGTTTACTCGTGGCAGGAAGCATGGCCTGCAGGTAGACATGGTGCTGGAGATTGATCTGAGAGTTCTACGTCTGGATGCACAGGCAGCAGGAAGAAAGTGCCGGACTGAGCCTGGCTTGAGCATCTGAGACCTCAAAGCCCACGCCCAGCGACACAAATCCTTTAACAAAGCCACACCTTGAAGCCGCAGGGCGATTGATAATGAAAAGTCCCCAGACTATCTTAATACAAAATATACAGCTTTAATAAACAAAAGTAAGACTTACACCAGCTTACACCAGAATACAAACGATCCGTCTGGATGCAGGAGCCAGGCGAGAGAGAGGTAGCGGGAGGACACTTGCCAGGTTTATAGGCAGGCTTTAGCCTAAGGGTGACACGCCCACAAACAGAAAGTGATTGCTGAACTCCCCTATCAACACCTACTCCAAGAAAGCTACAGCTCCTAAAAGTGCTATTCCCTATATCCTATGGGGGCAATTTTCTTTCAAACACCACAGAGGTATAGGCCATGATGACGGGGAAGCTGTGGGCAGCAGCAGGAATGTGAGGTGCCTGGATCCAGCCAGGAAGCAAACACAGATGAATGTTGGTGTTCCATTTCCTTTCTCCTTTTTATTTGACCCAGGACCCTTCACCACAGGGATGATGCTGAAGTAGAATAACACAGAAAAGACCAATTATTAGAAATTGATTTATTGACTTATTTAGTGATTTACTTAAAGCACCATTTATAATGCCAACTATGGCATCCCTTGCTATCTGGAACAGAATGGCTTAGAGAAATAGCTAAAACAATGTATCATTGCCCTTAACAACCTACTGACTTCCTCATACTTCTGTAAAATCTTGCTTGCTTTCCCACCCTGCCTTGTGGTTTTAGAGTATAAAAAGAGAACACAAACTGGACCCAGTACCCAGCCTTTAGGAGCTACCCTGGCTTCAGTCTGCTGCTGACTCCTCCTTTCTTCCATTCTCACTGGTGTCAGATGCTTATTCTAGGAAAGATTCCCGGAACTGTGGTCCACACTCAGGGCAGGGCCTCCCAACTCACTACGGAGTAGAGGCACCCAGAAGTCTATCTAAATCTCATCCAATTAACAATGAAGGCTAACTGTCTCTGAGGCCTTGGGACTAGATTTCAATTCCTGCCACTCCTCACTCCCAAACACCCCTCCAAGCCCTACCCCAGAGCAATCTCTTCCACAAACACCCCTCCACATCCTACACCAGAGCATCCTCTTCCACAAACACTCCTCCACCCCTCCAAACCTGGGACCTCTCTATGTAACTCAGGCCAGCCTGGGATTTTTAATTCTCCTGTCCCAGCTTTCTAAGTGTTGGCATTACAGGCATGAGCCACCACAACCAGCCCAAATGTTCCTCTCCTCCTCATGGGGTATTTTCTCCTGGAACTTGTTCCCAGTCCAAAAATCCAAAGTTACTAAATTGGCAGATATCTTATTTCTTCAAACATTTTCTAATATTCCATGTATTTTTCTTCTTTTCTTTCTTTTGTGTGTATACATACGTCTTCAAGTTCAAATGTGGCTATATGAACATGTGTTTGCAGGTGCTTGTGCATGTATGTGTGTGAGTGTGTATAGAGGCCAGAAGGTGACATAAGATATCTTCCTCGATTTCTCTCTACCTTACATACTGAGGTAAGGTCTTTCACTGATCCAAGGAGCCGCTGTCTCTGCCCTGAAGTGTTAGTGGTTGTGGGCAGGTTACCACATCCACCCCGCTCTGCGTCAGTGTTGGGAATCTGGGCTTTACCCGCTGAGCCGCCTCTCCAGCCCTCTTCTTTATTTCTATACCTGTTTTCAAGTGACAGGTATGTTCAAATCAGCAGAGAATTTTCTGGTTTTGATGTTATATTTTGTATCTTCATTCTAAGATTGACTAAGATATTGAGACTAGTCTAGGCTACCTTCTTGGTTTCTTGGTTCTGTTGGACCAAGTCCCCTGCTGTGTTTTATTCCCACTCCACCCCAAGTCCTGGCCAACATCCATCTTCTGTAACTGGTCCAGGCCTAGGGAGGGTTAGGCTATGGTTGAGTCAAGGAGGCAATGTTCTTAGGCTCTGGTCCCCTTTTATTCACTCTGTGAGTTCTTGCCTTCTCTTTCTCACACTCAGAGGGAGACCACACTCTGTTTTTCTTTTCCTTCTAACCCACCTTTGACTTTTTAATCCTATGAAGATCTTTCTTTAGACCACAGTTGGGATGAATTGTACAAACTGCCCTTGTAACAGTCCCCTGGGATTTCACAGATCTTCATTATAAAAAGTCGTAGTTATACATTATACATAGCTTTGAACTGTTATCAATTTTTCTAGAGTATGCATCTTCATGCTTTTACTCATTATAGAACTTGGACTTTCACCTCATCTTTTCCAACTTAAGTTGTCAGGTTTCTGTGTAGATGAGCCTGCTGCTTCAGTACCAAGTACACAGGCAAAATAAACACATCTTGTTGGAGTTCACATACATATGTCTTCAAACCTCATCCACAAATGAAGAGAGACCAGTCCAAGTGCTTCACCTTGACCTTTAACTGAAGAGAGTGAAGTGAGGGCAGCAGAAGCAAAGCTGTTCCCCCAGTGAACAACAGATCACTCAGATCTGACACTCAAGTCTCCCCTCAGCAGTTAGTTCTCTAGGCTCCTTGTGGATCTTGCTAACTTGATCTCAAAGAAACTAGACAGACTCCAGACGTTAGAAGTCCTGATTGCTCTGGAAAGTTAAATATGGCCTTTTATTATCCTGCCCAATTTATCTGCAAAAAATATTTGTTATAGTGTGATTCATCCTTTCACTTCCTGGTTATGGGATGAAGCCCTGGTTTCTGCCCGACCTGATTCACAGAGCTGTGAGCACTGATCCTCTGTTACTCATACTGGGCTGAACAGGGAGTCAAGGACCAGCAGTGGTTAAGCTGTGGCTGCTGCTATGGATTAAGCTGATTCTCCACACTATTTTCTGTTACATCATGATATACTGACAGACATGATCAGAAAATGAGAAGACAGAATGAGGAAAGAGAAGTGGTTCACAAGAGGGAAGAGGTAACAAGAATAACAACCTACCTTTGGGCTGGAACAGAGAGGGCGATTGGTGAACAGATGTCTTCTGCCATTACCAGCCTTCTTCAGTTTGGAATAAAGGGATTAGTAACCCTGCAAACACAGTAGAACATGTTTGTCTATTAAGGATGCAAGGCTGGTTAATTTTCATGTCAGGTATCCAGACTAACTTTGGTAATAATGGAGACTGAGAAAGAGGAAAAGACCAGCAGTTCTCAAATTCTGTTGCTCCCCTTGTACATGGTGCCACACACCAACCCTCTCTTTGACACCCTCATTGTTACCTGTCTAGATCCTTTCTGCTGTCATTTTGTGATTTGGATATAGTCTCTAGGGCTTGCTCTCTTGTTCAAAACATTATTCAAGGTATGATTAGGGAAAACATAGTTCTCTGAAACTGGGTTGGTCACATATACTTTAATATGAACCTAGAGAGAACATAAGGAAACTAAGATGGG